CAATCGCCTATATATATATATCTTCAGTACAAATATTCACTTCTCGAGACACTCCTTACTTTTTACACAATTATCTTTGTTTGCCGATTTCGATCATCAATGATGCTATGCCGAGAACATATTCAAACAAAAAAAAACAATTTTATATGATGAAACACAGATGCAAGATACCGATATATTTCGAAAATTAAGTTTAGTGTGTCAGTACCGCATGTTCAAGAGTGACAAGTTTTGACTTCTGAAAATCGAGCAGTAGAACAAAAGAATGATTGAGAAATGAGAAATGTAATTGCCAATATAATTTCTTTTATTCCTATTCAAAAAGTCGTGCATTCCTTCTTCTTCTTCTTCATACTTCTACGGGTGCTGTAATCGAACTTCTTCTTTTCAGTTTCATTTAAACAATTTTTCTGTTTTTATATGAAAAATTCTCATGATAGATTGTAATCAACCTCAGAATATTATTTTCAATGCACACTATCATCAATATTACGGAGAAATTTTTCTGTGCTAGAGCTATCTTACCTATAAACGATTTATGGTCGTTCATGAAATTGAAGCATTGTGACCAGTCAATAATTGTATCTTTATTTGAAACTATGTCTTTTAAAAAGAAAATAAAGAACTAATGACAGAAAATGGAAGATTAATAAAAGGAATATTGACGGTTAATATGTTTATAAATGAAGTATTCTTTTTAAATATCATTGTACAATATATATGAAAGATGGTACAATTTCGATTTTTACAACGTGTGGCTCGCAAGGTGACCCTGGTATCACCTCTTTAACGTGAAAACGAGTATTTGGTGTCAGTAATACTTCTTGCTCGATCACACATATTGCAACCCCATTCAAATCAGCAAACTGATCAGCCGATGTGACACTACTGATCTGGATCTCATAGAGAACATTTTTAACAAAAATTTCAGCAACAAGTCGATCTTTTGATGTCGAAACGAAAGAAGTCCACCGAAAATATTTTTCCGATTGGCCGACTGCCTGTCGATATTCCTCAAATATTTCTCTTGTGACGTAATCTCCTCGATACAAATACACATATGACATGTTTGTGGGTTGAAATAGTTCGTAAAGACGACGTCGTAAGGATCGATCGTCACGAGTACGATAGCTGATATAGTTAAATACCAGATAACAATACGGACCGAGAGTGTCCAGCTTGTCTCGGTTATCAGCACGAAGAGTCTCATTAACCACTCGAAATAGAAAACATCCTTTGGTATATTGTCGAACGCAGCATTTGCTCAAATCGTCAATACGTTCGCGTTCTGTCTTGTTTATTGATTCATCTTTTATTTTTACGAGTGCATGAATTATATCATCGATTGTGTTCTGGTCTGCACCTGCTAAATGTCCTTCCCATTGAATACCGACAATGAGGACAAGAAAGAGAGTGTCAAACTTTACATCCAATGTTCCTTTGGTAAATTTGAGTAGCCAAGCCATGCTGAATTGCGATCTATGAAACGAGACATCGTCTTGACTCGTACTCCCGTTCATGTTGCTTCGTCTCGGATTTTCTAGTTGAACGGAAGAAACTTGACATTGATAATTAGCTTCATTTTCAGTATTTTGATGAACACATCGTTTCACCGGATGCTGTATTGTTGTATTGTGACTATTGATTTGTACCATTCTATCCAAATCAATAAAATCATTTTCATCGACCCATACGAATGGATCGTACATGGAATAAGCGCGCTCGATTCTGGTTGCAATTGCCGGGGGATAATCTTCCATTTCTTTGTGAGAATGATCAAGATGATCTTCATTGGATCTCCGCATCCAGTTAATATAATTTACGTCATAAGCTGGGCGTATGTCCGACATCGGAAAGTCAGTGAACCTAAAAATTCTTCGTTCTATAATAGCAAGAACATTGAGCATTAATCTTATTTGTTTTATAAAAACAAGTAGACTAAGATTTTACTAGTACTGCTTAGGGACGACACTTTAGCTTTACTTTATCTGATAAAGTAAAATGCATAAACTTCACTTTACTCAGCAAAGTAAAATAGGTCTACTTTACCCGAAAGGTAAAGTAAAGTCATCTCCCACAGTCAAGTTTATCATTGATTTATTAATTCCTAATCATGCATTGACAGCGTTGCAATATATGAAAGCTCGTTCACATTCTTTTCTTTAATAATCAGTGAAAAATAAAATGAAATAAAACTGAAAAGTCAATATTTCTCATATATACTTTTCAATTTGATTGTTACATTTCAATCGTTTCATTTTTGAAATAAACTATTCAAATACAGGCTAATAATGAAAATAAGCAATATGACAAAAGATTGATTTGATATAACCTTACACATTTCACGAAAGGAATATCGAAAAATAAAGTTTAATCACAAATGTGACAGGATAAAAAATCGACAAAACAGTGATCATGTGATTTTCAAAATGGTCCAAAGGAAGCCAACTAATTTCAACATTTAATGAAGCTTTGGAAAAAGAGATTGCGACTATAAACATCCACCACCATATATGACATAGAGAGTGGCGGTCTAAACAATTATTTCAACAAAAATTCCATCTTTTTTCAACACAATATCAGATTCAGACTGAATAAGAGACATTTTAATTCTTGCAGAACTACCTGGATATCGTCATCTATGGTCACAAGCTATGAGTAATGACCGAAAGAACTCGACCTGAAATACAGGCATCTGAAAAAAGATTTTTGAGAAGAGTAACAGGCTTAAAATTTAATAATAAGGTTTGAAGTTCCACCATTCAGCAGTCTCGTCAAGTTGGGTCGATACTTCTTCGTATCAAGAGATCTTAGACGCGTAGGGTGGATCATATATTGAAAGTGGTACATGAAAAACTTCTTTATCAAGTTTTTCAAGCTACAAGTGAAGTGAAAACATCAATAGACCGTCCATAAATGAGTTGGCGCATTTATATCATGTGCCTATGTAAGGAGTGATTAGAACTTTCATGGACCGATGTAATTCTCGTAGCGAGCGATCAAGATCGGTGGAAGGATCTGTTGAGCGGGCTGAGACTCTCGACTCGAAAGGAAAAAAGAGAAAAGAAAAGTAATAAATAAATGAATGAATGAACAAAAGAGTCTATAGATTAAATCGATCACACGTAAATAACTTTCTCTTGCTAGAGCTACAGAGAAAAAATTTTTTTTTCCGCATGGTCTGTCTGTATCTTTTAATAGACTGGATAAAGGAGACGAGTCTATAATAGTCAACCGACAGAGAAAGAAAAGGATAGCGTGTTAAGCGAATCAATATCAAATGCACTATGTACGACGTTTTCTCGCAAAAAAAATGGGCCGAACTTTTGATTTATATTGGTCGATAGAGAAAACTTTTCTGTATCTAACTGTGCTTTTAGTTTTTCCCAAAAAAGTGCTTCTACCGAGAAATAATCGATACAAATTGACCAATCAAAACACATTAACGCTTATGATTTAATAATGAATCGATGATTCATCTCGATTTGTCTGTAGACTATAAATTGAATCACATCGTAGCTTCCTAATTGCGGCCAAAGATCAAACCAATTAGCAGACCAACAGTGTGGTTGAGAGCGCAGAGATGTGATTTTTGATCGCAATTCGGAAGTAGCCGACTTCATCACACTTAAATGGTTTATCTTATCGAACACAAAGAGAAAGAAAATATTTTTTTCTGCACATAGTCTCCCTGTATGTTTTATACCGATATAATTAAAAAGTCGAGCCTATATGCTAAATGCTTGACAGATAATCAGTTTTACTTTTTCTTGGATGTCGAGAAAAAATAATTTTGTTTTTCATACAGACAATAGAAGAAGAAAGACTGTAGTTTCGTGTCTTCTCATTGCGAGCATAAAATAGAAAATAGTTTAAATTCTTAAAAATTTACTTTCATCAATTTTAAGAATATTTAGCTTATCACACTAAGTTGTTTTTGAAAACTAACCCAAAATATCAAATTCTCATTTTCTGAAATTTTTAAAAAATTTACTAATAATAGCTTTAATATAAGGAAGTGACTATGTACACATATGTGTATATAGCTGACTGACTATGTACACATAAGTGTATATAGCCAAATGGCTATACATACATAGATAGGTATAATCAACATAATATATATGAAATCATTATTATCTTATGTATATTTACTTATCAATAGAAACTAAATATTCTATTTTTCTAATAACTTTATTTTATTAATAATTTATTACACACAAGTACAGATTAACTAGTACAATTACACAATAACAGAAAAAATTAATTCAAATAAAGATCAACTAATTTAGAAGCATTTCTGGTGCTTCCTCTCTTCGATTTTAAAGGAAATGGTCGAATTTCATTATTTTCAATATGATAATTAAAAACTGTCTGGTGTCAGCACTTCTCTTCTCTCTTGAATGTATCATTTTTCTGACAGTCAATTATAAAACGAAAATTTGAATTTTCTTTTCTTAGCTTAATTAGCTTAAAATGGGAAATTGAAAGCATAAAAAGTCAAATATGTTGCAATCTGAGAACATAACCTTCATTAAGATAAATTGATTAATCCTCACTTTAATCTTTTTTCTATTGAGCTTATTAATACTTTTACAAGTTAAATTGAATGACTTTATAATTTCTATAATCAGATGGACAAACTTAATATAATCTCATTTATATTACTAAATAACTACTTTTAGAATCAGAACCGAAAGAAGAACAAGCATATTTATTAATAAAACAAAAAATGATTCTCAATTACTCACCAGTAATTAATCCTCGAGGCAGGCCACGTGGTAGAGCTTCATTAGTGGCTTATAAGCAAAAAGGTGACAAGAATAATCAAGATAAAAGAAATAAAAGAACTTACAAACAAACTTCACCAGATTTAAAAAGTTATAATGTTAAACGGAACAAAAAATTATACTCAATTCGCGATGCTTATAGTAAAACAACGTGACTAACTGATTTTCATATATATTTATTTTTTGAATTATTACATAAAAGATTTCCAAATGTTAATGGTCTATGTGGTCCTGCACAAATTCATTTATACACGGGTTCATTGAAGAACTCTATTTTTATTTTTAATGCAAATAGTAATCATTAGCTAACAATATCAAAATTAAATTGTGATAATAATGTTAATAATGCTTGGAAAGTTTATGATTCATTAAGTTACCCGAAAGAATCAAAAATTAAATTTTTTAAAGATATATCACCTGATGAAGAAAAAGTTTCGGTTTCATTTGAACATGTTCAGCAGCAAATTGGCGGTAATGATTGTGGATTATTTGCATTGGCTTTTGCAACATCTCTTTGTTATAAAGATGTTCCATCTTTAATGTTTTATGATCAATTATCTTTACGTGATCATTATGTTAAATGCATTGAAAATAATGAAATTCGACCATTTCCTTCAAAATCGAAGAGAGGAAGCACCAGAAATGCTTCTAAATTAGTTGATCTTTATTTGAATTAATTTTTTCTGTTATTGTCTAATTGTACTAGTTAATTTATACTTGTGTGTAATAAATTATTAATAAAATAAAGTTATTAGAAAAATAGAATATTTAGTTTCTATTGATAAGTAAATATACATAAGATAATAATGATTTCATATATATTATGTTGATTTTACCTATTTATGTATGTAGAGCCATTTGGCTATATATACTTATGTGTACATAGTCAGTCAGCTATATACACATATGTGTCATTCCTCTTTTTTTTTCGTTAGTGATAAGACGTAATATTCGTATACCACATACTCGTTCTCAAAAGACATACTCGGCAGTGCTGCCGTTTGTGTAAACTATGGAGACTTCTAGTCCCATCAAAATTAACGACGCCCAGCAAGAATTAGAATACTTCCAATACATATTTAACCTTGGTTTGCAAAAGCTGCAAGAAAATCAGAAAGCGCAAGTGCCAATTCAACTATCTGNACCGGACCGTCCTTTTGGACCTGGGAAATTGATATTGGAAAATATCAAAAAGTTAACTTTGCAAAAGAATTATTAAAGATTTTCGACCGAGACTGTTCTCAAAAGAATAGAAGATGTTTCTTTCTTCTAGATTAGATCTACATTATTGCATTATGAGAGATCAAATATGTTTTGTTACTTCAAATTTTCATTTCGATTAAAGACTTATTCTTATAGAACGAAAGTACAAAGTGATTTTACGGTTCTTGTAGACAGACAGAAAGAAAATTGCCTGGATGGATAAGATTTTCAAAGAAAAAACGCAAACTCTTTCTCATTTTATTTTTTTTCTACAAGTTCATCTAACAATTTCTATCAGTTTTACCGCATTCATTGTCTCAGATCTTAACGAATAATTTTATTTCAGCAAATAACTTTTATGCCTATGTAATACATGAAAATGTGTAGATTTATAATTTTATTATCATTAAGATTTATATGTACTTTTAGCTTTTTTGTTGTTCGTGATCTGACTGAATTAATGCATTTCTGTATAGTCATAGATTTTTCAAGCTCTAAGAAGAATATTTTAGTACAATCCCAAGCTTTCCATTCTCAGTCAAACACATATGATATCCTCTATGAATTGCATCTGAAAATGTATTCAAGTCTTAGTATACGTGGTTTATGTCGTGATATAGATATATGAGATGTAGGATACAAAATCCTCTATATATATATATGTATGTAATATCGTCAATACTTCTATACCTTCTATATCTCTAATATACTTTAGAATAGACATATTAATATGCACATAATGAATACAATGATATATATATATATATATGGATAAGAAATATATATATTGGGCCTATTGGATATATAAATGTTAGAACTATAAGAGAAGTTATTAAGCAATTAATCAGACTATTCAAACAGTTGAATAGTACCATAGAAGATATACAATCAATAAAAAAAAATGAAATTTCTGTGAGATTTTTATCGCACTTATACTTTACTTTTCTAACTGTATCTAATTCCAATCGATCATCTTTACAACAATCGAATGAATACAAATACAGGACGATACAATGGGAAAATTCCATAAACGATGAATAGAAGAAAGGAGAAAAAGGTTAATGTATAAGACAGAAAACGAAAAATCAATCGCATATACATGACAGGAAAGAAAAAAAAATCCTTAACGCATGACTAGCAACACGAGACAAGAAAAAGAACATAAGTATATACGTATAAAGAGAAATTCTTATGATCCCATCTGAAGAAGATACAGGCCATAACAATTTCAGATTTGTGCATGTATTTCTATATTTTCTTTTTTAACGACAACGTTTTCTTTAGGATATTGAAGAGTTTTCTGTGTTTCTTGTTGGGACAGCATTATTTATTCACTAAAAGAGAATCAAATTTTTGTTTGAGTACCTACTATCATTCAAAGAATCATACATAATTAATGCAAAAGGGTCAGATTGTTACGATATCGAGACCACACGGCTTTACACTAGCTAAGGGTGCTACGTAAACAGAGTCACAGATCATAGTATCATATTCTAAACATTACAGCTTTACATTGATAACTTGTCATATTGTTCCAAAGTTTTCAAGCTATTTTTTTTATTGCTGTATGATCCGTAACATTTTAGGTTGAGTTTGAAACAATGCTGGAAAGATGGGAAAAGTTACATTATGCTGATAGTTCAACGCTCGTCTATTTATTAACTAAACATGTTATATAGGGGTCTTCAATGAATTCATGCTAATTAAAATAATAAATAAGCGTGAGTTAGAGAAAGCAAAGGGAATTAAGGAGATTACTAACTAACAAACATTTATTAATTGATTGTCGAAAAAAAAAACTCAATCGTTAGAATCAATTTCATACATGTCCCAATTGTATCTAATGTTCAGATCATATTCAGACTATGTACCCATTATTTAAGAGACCTGTGTCTATGTTTTGTATTATTCAAATATGTTACTTACCGTAGTCAAATAAATGATATCCGAGTTATGAAAAAACTTTTTTGTCGTTGACTTGTTGATTACACTTCGTGTTGTGCGTGTGACACTACCGACTTGTTTTTGTTGCTTGATTAGTTTTTACCTGTCCAACAAAATAACATCATTTATTTTTTATCATTCGTTATTTTGCGTATTTTTTTTTCTCGTATGTTTTTTAACAATTACATAGTTTGTCGCGAACGAGTCTAAACAAGATGTATACTTTGTACATGAAAGGATTTGCTTGAATAATTTTTGCACAGTGAATATTCTCTATGAGATATCATCAAAGCATATACCTCAAAAAAATTTCGAAAAGCAAAAGGTAGTAAAAAAAAAAAATCGTAATTATTACTTTATTTTGAAACTCGCAATATAATGTCCTCACATTTATACAGAAAAAAAAACCCATCAGAGCAAATCATTTTCGATATTTATTCGAATTTTAAGTTGATATCAAGTTATTACAATCGTACATACTCCTCTTTATATACTTCGATTAATAATAAAGAATATGAGTTCATTAATTATTTTTATTTTTTTGAATTTATTTAAAAAAACTTGTGAATATTTCGAACTGATCTTCAGCCTATTATCAACACACATTTAACAAGAAAAAAGAAATACAATTTTTTTTTTTGTGCATAACTTTTCTTTTCTTTAACGGCCCAATGTATATGCAAACTTTGCTCCTTCTTGCATTGCAATGTTACAAAAAAGAACGAAAAGAAAAGAAAAGCTATACATAAAAAATGTTGTATTTTTTTGTAATTTGTGTTGATAATGGACTGAAGGTCAGTCGCAAAATATTCACAAGTTTTTCGAAATTCATTCAAAATAAATAAATAAAAATGATCAATGAACTCATATTTTGCTATTAATCTATTTAAATATATTTCATTGCACGAAATCTATGTATACTTCGAACATTTTGTTCTTGAAACAAATTTCATTTTAAGATATTAGAACATTAAAAGAATTAAATGATTAATAACGACAATATGTAACTTGGTGTATACAATAGATCCATACTTGCTTACAAAATTAACGCTGTAATGTACCTAAGAAAATCTCTTTGCAAATAATTCTATAGAAATATTGTAATATAAGAGTCTAAAGTAATTTTTCAAGTTTGTTAGCACAAGAATGATATTGGTGTTGAGAGTTTTTGATAATTCCAGATCGGCCATTGCAAGTCATAAAAGAAATTTACATGAACATGTGGGTTTGCATGCTATCGTTAGTTGTTCTATCATTACCGACACACTACACTCGCATTGACACCTATACTGAAATCCTTGTTGTTCAAGCTGTTAGTTTGTGCTACTCTTCGTCTCTCATATTTGCGAAAATTTCTTCTGGTGCAAAATGGAATAAAACACATGTGATTTTTGTAAGGATTGGTGCGAAAAAAAATCTTCCTTAATAAAAATTCCGTCTTCCATAGTTCTACTTTTGCCTTAAAAAAAAACTTTTTTTCATAAATCACCGATAATTCGAGTACTTGACGCTGTGCTGACCTGTATTTTAGTTTTCAAAAGTGCACTAGAATCATTAACTAATGATCTATAATTTATGTAAATACAATGTTTTAAGGTCTAGCTAATAATGAACTATAAAAATTTTAGTACGTGTTATCAGTAGATTTTTTGAGAAATATGGTGGAATATTCTGATAAAATTTGTTCTAAAACTATAGTATATACAATCCGATACAGTTTCATTTGTTCTTTTAAACATTCGAAACTACAAATTTCTATTTTGTTCCTATCAAAAACTATTCTAAAAATACTCACCCTTCTTTCATTTTGAAATGGATAATAGTTATGCAAGAGAATTCTTTTATCATTTCTATGTCGTATTAAGACTTAGTTTAATAGGCACATGCTTATATGGCGTAAATACAAAGGTTTTATGCTTAATTTTCAACAAATTATTGAAGCCATTTTATTGAAAGAGAACAATTCTATCAGTGTTGAAAAATGTCAGCAGAATTAGAAAATGAAAAATACATTATCCAACAGAAATAGAAGTACTAATTTACATCCTTATTATTTTTGTCTGCAAAGAATCAAAAGTTGCAAACAATTTATTGATGAAAACAAAATAACTTCAGACTCTTGAAGAATAGTTAGTCCATGGCAGTTTTATATAATATATAGTTAATCAATGTATTAAGTATAAGAAAAGACATTGTTGTCTCATTTTTTCGAAAAAATATTTTAATAAAACAAACTACCTTTTATTATGTTCATCCGCAGTTTTCCAAAGACGAAAACTTCATTTTTCAGGAATCTTTTAAATAAGGGCGACTAAGTAAGATGCAAATACTCATTATGGAGTGCCAACTATAAGCATTTTAAAAAGTATCCGGACAATTAAGGTTACTTCCGTCCTTTTCCAAAATTGGTTTTGATCGAGGCACATGCAAACCGCATGACATTTTTTAGTATATGTTAGGACTGTAGTGAAGAGATTATAGTAAACTTTCAGCCCTATTATATGACGTTCGGAGGAAATATTTACTACAAAAGAGTCAAAGATGATTTATTTAGTAACCCAAAGTTCTCTGTAAGTCTTGATTCTATCTATTTAATTTTTTGTTTGCTTGAAAGAACATGCTAGGATGTAGAGCGTGGTAGAACACTTTCTCCTAAATTTTTACTTTTTAAGCGAAGAAAATGGTTAACAAGTTCAACAGCTAAAAAAATGAAAAAAAAATGGGAGAGTTTTGGATTATTGAACTAGTCATCCATTTTCTCCGCTTAAAAAGTAAAAATTTAGAAAAAAGATTCTGTCATCACTTGCACCCTGACATGCTCTTTCAAACAAAGAAAAAAATTAAATAAATAGAGTGAAGGATGACAGAGAACTTTGGGTTACCAAATGAACCATCATTGACCCTTGTTTAGTGAATATCTTCTTCAAACGTCCCATTATAAGGTGTCTGAATACTTTTTGGAGTACCTGTATATATATACAAAATTTTAAGTTAATAGCTACAATAATTAAAAGAATTGCTCCTTGCTCCCTTTTTCTGTCCACTATGTTCCATGGCCATACCATTTTCGCTGTACATACACTACTTAGATATATATTGTTCACTTCGATTTTCAGTATACTCTAACATAGTATATCATTCTATTTGGGTAGAATTTCGACTGTCTCCTTTGCTACTGTCGTATATCTTCTTCTTTGGTGTCCACACTTAAGGGCAAATGTATTGATCAATAAGTCATATCAATAAAAATATCTGAAACTTGAATTTGTCTCAAATCAAGTATACAAATAATTAATGCGAAACCTGTGCCATGTTAATATATAATTATCCAGTTAAACTTTGTTAAATAAATATACTTTTATAGTTCTATTTATGTTATATTACTGTTCATATGTAAGTGTTAATAAATGAAGTACTATTTATTCAGAAACATTAGTGCAATAAATTCGTGAAAAAAAATTGCACAACGAAAAGACTTTTGGGACGGTAACCGCCGCCACCACTACCTTAAGGCTTACGCCATCTTTTCTGCCACTTATACCTAATTTTTTAGGTGCGGTAGACATCTTTGATGCGGGTATGAGCTTTTTCTCTTTTTCCACACTCACACAGCCACAGCCGTACCAAACCTTTTTATTTCATGCCTGATGATGAACAAAAGAATCGCAAAATTTCTATATAATCGAAAACAGAATTAATTATATTCTCATTCAACATTTTTTTTTCATATTCACTACCAAGATTTCGCTTATCTTTGTTTCATTTAAGCAAATATTTTTTTCGTGTTACTTATTTTGTCGTTCTCCAGTTTCATTCGTTTGTCAATCTTCTAATCTATCTTTGAATCATTCTTCGAGTTTTTTTAATATTTTATTCTACTATTGCTCTAGTTTATTCATTAACAATTGGTCTTTCTCTATTCCTACACATTTTCAGTAAGTCTTTTTTTCTATTGAATTATCAGAATATCTGTACATAACAAAATAAATTTTCAAAACTAATTATTATAAGAATAAGTCATATAAAATTGAAATGCATTACTAATCAAAAGCTCGAAAATAAAATTCTTTATGCTCTACAAATAATTTTGATTTTTTTAAATTTTATTTTTCGCTTATTATTAATTTTTAATCATAAAATAATATATTGAATGAAAACTGTAAATTGAACAAATTAATTGTTATTTTAGATAATTTTATTTTCAAAACCTCTTAGGATGGTAAAATGGGAAATCGAAGTACAAGATAGTGGCATCACTGATATTATGAGAATAAATATACTAAGTATATTAGCTACTTCGATTGATACACATGGATCATCGGAAAAATATAAAATCGCAAAAGATGTTAGAACTTGGCTTGATGAAACTTATGGAGAATATTGGAGAGTAACCATTGGTGGTGCAGGTACATGGGCATCCTGTGGTACTTATTTTGAGTCCAAATTTTTGAGAATCAAAGAAACAGCATTGGGATGGGGAATTGACATTTTTAAACAAGCACAACGATAAATAAAAATCTACAAAAATATGATTCTATTTATTTAGGAAAATGTATATTGTGATAACTCTCATTGAAAGATCAACGATATTGTGCTTGAGTCTTTTGTCATCATTTGAAAATAAAATAAAAATGCTGAGAGATAATAAAAGAGAGATAAACAAAATGATCATCATACTCTATATGATCAGTCTAATTTTCATCGAAAGAATTTTGCTTTATTTTCCAAAAAGACAATATTTCTATGAATCGATGTGGCTGATGTTTACTGAAGAGTTTGAAGAACAACTAATCAACTGATGATATAGATGAATTCTATCGCAGCAATACATGAGAATGTGTAACCGATTTCAAAACAATCGTTTGATTAATCATTGATCTGTTTACATTTTTACACATGAAACAGAATAGATAAAGAATCTGCCAACAAAGCTTCGACGAATTCACCTTAGCTAAGAGATTGAATGTGATAATCATCAGTCAAACGAAACGTTTAATTTTATGACTTAACGATTGGTTAGTCTACAACAAGTAAAAGCTTTTAATCGACTAGAACAAAAGTCACCGTGTTTTAATATGAGTACGCTTTTGATGGAGAATAGATTAGAATAATTAACGTAATGAGAATAACAACCTTTGTATATTAACACATAACTTTATATTTTTTCTTTGTAATTTCATCATAGTGCATCATTTTTTGCTCACTACCATTTTTCTTTTTCTTGCGTTCGTTATCTTTTACCATGAACAACAATAGAGAAATAATTAAAAAAAATGCCAAAAAACAACAGTTTTTACTTCGATAAGGTGATGCAATGCATCGCATACTCTTTGTTCCGTATATCATAACGCCTGTTTCATTATCAACAACAATAAAATAGCGTCGTCGTCGAGAAAGTGTGTTATCAACGAGTGTAAACGTTCGTCTCGAGCACTGTACATTTGTTGTCAACAGTATTTGTGTCGTGATCATTTGAAAGAACACGATGATGCTATCGATGACCAACTTCCATCATTGATAGACTAAATCAATGAACTTTCGAATCAACTTAGCAACCTTTCTTTGCCAGATCCACCTTGTCTAGCAGACCTCTATCAACGGCGTGAGGTGGCGCATAAAACAGTGGAACACTTCTATGAAAGAAAACGTTAACAACTTATTCAAGATGAAAGGAACAAACAAAAACAAGAACTTGATCAAGTGCGTGTCTATCTAAACGAACTAATTCGAGAACAACAAGCAACTCAAGAACAGATTGATTCTATCACATTATCTATTCGAGCTCTCGAACGAGATGTCAACGATCTTAAACATACTCATTTCAATAGTACTCCATTGAAGATTAATGACAACCTCATTCTCATTCAGCATAAAGCATTATCAAGAGATCTTTTACCTATATTGCCTACACATCAAACAATGCAATCGATAGCAAGTAGCTGTATCTCTAAAGTGACGAATGAGAATCATTAATTAATGCATTAAAAACGTAGTCTATAGTTTCCAGGTAAGCAAAATAGGGATTTCGAGACTTCTCTTTTGTTAATCATACTGATTTATATGAAATCGACCGAGATAGATTGAATCTCAGAATGCTGGCAATTCATGTATGAGGAATTTTTGAGAAAAAAGAATGGACATGGAGAGTGATCGTGATGCCTTTCGATGAAAGAAGAAAAAGTGTTATTTACAGTGATGCCAACTGACAGCGTTCAGTTCAATTGAAGTGAAGGAGCCTTGTAATCTTCACTTAAGATTATTTACAGTAATATTGTGAATCTCAAGCAAAGACATGATCTCAAAACTACATAGAACGGATGAAAATTTGTTTTCTAGTTAACAGATGGTCAAAACGATTTCACCGTTTTTATCTTAAAATGGAATACTAATCTATTATTGTACAGAAAAAAAAAGTTGGATATAATTCAAATTGCATAGTCAACTTCAAAATTGAAACATTTTCGACAATTGATTTTCGCCATTCTGTATGATATTCATCTAAAATTAGCACGATTCGTGAGTTATAAAGATTTTTCTTTTGATCAAGAGAATCAATAATATATAAAATATCGAGCAAATATAAAGTAGAAAATTCTTTAGATCTTGATGATTGATACTTTAAATTTTAATGGTAGAAAAAGAATTATGCGATTATTTTTGTAGCATCTATTCTTATTAAACATAATTATTTAACTTCAAAATGATTTACGGTTTAATAATTTTGATTTCTATGTTTTTTTTTCTTATTTATTTTCAAAAATACAATTGAATACTGACAATAGAATTGTAATATTGTAAATATAGCTTATTAATTCTGATTTTAAATAAATTTTCTTCAAAATTAATTAAGTTAACAAGATAGGAAATTGAAGAACAAGCTACTGGAATTACCGATATTATGAGAATTGATATATTAAATATAATAAGTATTTCAATTGATATACATAGAAAAAATAACTGGAAATGTCGAAAATTGGTTCAATGGAACTTATGGAAAGTGTTGGACTGTACTTATAAGCGATGAATTCAAATATCAATCTTGCCACACTGTTTCTAGTTCAAAATATGTGAAAGTCAAAGAAATAAAATTGCAATGAACTATTGTAATTGTTAAATACACTTCATAATAAAAACAATCAGTACAAAATCNTTATTTCTTTGTCGTATTCTATGTTACGACTTTTATCTTTCTATAATCTCGATGCCGAGATAATTTGCTTTCTTTGATTCCAACATATCGTTCAAAAAGTTTTCTTGAGCCAAGCATTAGACCTACTGAAAGGAATTTAATATTTCACGAAAAAATCATTATTAAAATGATACTTATCCATTTGCTTTGAAATTCAATATCAATAGGATATAGAAATATCATTTCATTTTTTTTACAGAAGGTATGATTCGATCACGTTGTCTTCGTCCACAACAATCATTCAATTCAATTGAATATTGTATAGACGATTCGAAAATCTCATTTTTATTATCACCATCATTATTAAATTCAAGAAGATGCTCTTCAACTGAACATCCTCGACCTTTATGTCCAGCTCTAATTACATTTCCATCAAACGTAACATTAAATCAAATTTTAGCGGAAAAAGAATTCACGGCTTTGATTTCTGGACATTCAACATTACCAGTCGAAAACAAGGATGACATTCAACAACAACAAAATAAAGCTCACTTTGAATATCAAGGTAAAACTTTGGATGGAAATGTTCAATTTACATCCATTGCTTCGGTGCAAGATTTAGTATTATTTACTGATAATAATATTGAATTGAAATTTCATGAAAGTAAAGGTGTTCAGTTAAAGCCAACAATCATAGATGCATATAGTGAAAGTTTAATTCATCGTATACCAAGTGAAAATGGTTATCGGCCTAAAACTAGTCCATATCTTGTCTATCCAAATGAAAGTTTAGATTTATTATTTGATACATTAGACGGTAAATTGAACTATTTAACTAAATATTTACAAAGTCATTTTGGTGAGAGACACGAGTTTACAACGTATGAAATACAAAAACAACCTCCTAGTGAAGGCAAACAATGGAATGAATGGGAAACAGGAATCTATCGAATGCATGGCGATAGTGACGGTACAGTAAATATTGCTTTAGCTTCTGATTGGTAAGAATTTTGTGTTTGTATTAGGTTCTAATTTTTCTTGAAACGAATTGCTTTTCTAATAGGGGAGCTGGTACACTCGAAGCAGCACTTGTTGCTAGTGCAATGATGAATGGTTTGGATCTGACTACACAACAACAACAGGCTACACCTGATTTGCCACATTATACTATCCATTTAGGTGATATCTATTATGTTGGCTTACCAGCGGAAGTTGAACATTGTTGTCTTGGCATTAAACCTGATTGGGCCGAACGAGGTGTTCGATGGCCCATCGGACAAAATGGTAGTTTGACAATACCTGGAAATCATGAATTGTATAGTCGTGGCTTTGGTTATTGGGACTATTTTTTACCAGCAGTTGGTTTATTCAATTCAAATGATTTAACACAACCTACACAATCACAGAAAACTTCGTATTGGGTATTAGAAAATGATCAATGGAGAATCATTGGACTTGATACTGGCTATGACTCATTTTCATTGTTGACCATTGACAATTTTGCAATTAAATTACCACATGAATTGATGGATTGGCTCAAAACAGTGGTTGGTCTTAGTCCACAAATGACTGATAAACGTGGATTAATCTTTTTCTCACATCATCAAATTATTAGTGCATGGAATGCAAAACCAAATACAGGTAAACATAAAACGTTTCATAATGTCTAAGGTATAAATCAAATTATTAATCTGTAAACATTCATACGATTAGTAGATATTTGATTGAAATAGTTATAAATGATGTAGAATAAAATGAAATTAAAAAAATCTTTTCATTTTTATATGTATATATTTAGATTTTCCGGAGCAAATAGCATCTTTATTACCAGAAGGACGAACAGTTCTGTGGTTATGGGGTCATGAACATCGTTTGAGTTTCTATGAGAAACAATCCATGGCAACATCGATTGAGTCAGGTCAAAGTCTAACATTCTATGGTCGATGCGTTGGTAATTCTGGTTTTCCAACATTGGCTAAAGAGCTTCCAATTAAATCTCGTGAAACAAAATTATTATTTTATGATGATCGATTATACAATTTTCACGACAATCAAGTTTTGCCTAATATACCATTAGGTTTCAATGGATATGCTACAATGAAATTCATACGTCCGAACAAACCAGACGACACAAGTTTACATATAAGTTATAAAACTTTAAACTTGAATAGAGATGGACAACTAACCTATGAAAATCCAAATATACTTGTTAATGAAGAATGGTCAGTTGACTCGAATGGTAATGTTATTCTTATCAAATTAGAACCTATGAATAAAGAACTTACACAAGTTACACATACAGACGGTAACCAAGATGAACTCACTGTAAATCAATCAAGTTGCTGTACACTGTTGTAAGAAAAGAACTACATTACATACACAAAACCAACTCAACCTGATAAAACAGTGATGCATAAAACGCGCTTTTTCCTTTTCATATAAGCACAAGTAATGTTCCAATCTAAAAATTTTCACCTGTAAAATCTTCCTTTGAGCAAACCAAAACATAACTGGCATTTCTCTTGTAGAAATGAAATGTTGTGATCAGTAGACTCTTGCATATTCGTTTACAATGCTTCATTAAGATCGCGTATTTTTGATTATTGTTCGTTGCTTAAGTTTTACCATTCAATAAAATGAAGAAAAAAAAACACTCCGTTTCTTCTTCTGTATACACTATTATTCATGTCAACTAGAAAAGTTGAGTGGTGAGCTAATTCACAAGAAAAAGCTTTCCGAATGAAGATCAAATGTTCATCGTCGATTATCAAATGAGTACTACTTCGATGAATACTTGTCGTCTGTCTGAGTTGAGTTCGAAAACAAGAATGACAATTAAGAGATGATTGAAAATCAAATTCGTTTTTAGTTTATGTCAAAATTAAATAATCAAACAAATTTGATTCAATGATTAATGAATAAAACATATTGAACAAAGAAAACTAAACAAATACGCTTTGACAGTGTGAATCATGAAAATATATTGCTAATCGAATGTAGTGGCGTCATCGGAAAAGTTGTCAAGGAAGTGAGAGATCATTCTCCTGACCAGACGTCTAGAGGGGATTATCTGGTTACACCATTAATTGGATGAGATCAAGATCGATGCAAATCAATGTTAAAAGTCGAAAACAAGAGTCTTCTTCAAAAAAATTTCGAATTAAAACTAATGAAAGAAAAAAGTTACTTGTTCATATTTTATTTAATTGATCTCTTCAGATTTGAATAAAGCAATTGGCATGTTGTCGCACATCAGAAACGCAATAGGTGAAAATGTTAAAAATATTTTCATGAAACAATCTGTGCTCAATCGACCACTAAGAATTTGATGTCATTGTGAGTAGTCTCTTTATTTCTTTTTAGTATTCATTGAATCAGATTGCATAGTTTGGTTGTGTTTGTGAATTTCCCAAACAGACTGTTCTCACGCTGCCGTCGCCGATGTTATAGAAGCAGTGGATATATTTACCTAAGACACGAATTAATTGGATGCCTCAATGGATTTCTGTCTGTTCTTTCTCGTTCCTTCAAAATGAAAAAACGAGATAATACATAAAGTTTAAAGAAGAGAATAAGTTTTTCTTTGTCACAACTACATTAATGTTTTTCTTGTAAATGAATTCATTGTTAGATTGATTTATGTATTAAATTTAAACATCCACATAATCCAAAGAATCAAATAAATTCTATTTAGTAAGTTTTTGTCAAATTCGAGTAGACATATTTTGAAGAATAGGACGAGTGTTGAATGATTTTCTAAATTTTTAGAGGAAATAATCACATGTAGATTAGTAATTGATTCTGGTTGAATAAAAATTTTCTAATAGAACTTATTTTTCATATCTAAGAAAATCGAAAAAAGAATACGTTTCGTCGAACGCGTTTATATGATAATAGATGCATTGATTGTTTTGGGAGTGTGCACTTGGGTGACAAGTATGAGTTAGTGGCTGTGAATCATCTTCTCATTCACACCCACAATAGAAAGACATAATAATCGACTTTACTTGGACATCGAATATATGACGAGAAAGACATGTTTTCATTTTCGTCGAAGCTTTCAGGACAAACAAATATGCACATAGGAAAAATCTCACGTCGACAGTGTTTATCAGTAGGTCATACGTTCGAATCCTTTTAAGCTTGTCGTAGTCCCATTGAGATCTTACTCGTAGGCATATAATATAAAATCGAACGACATTCAACAGTTGAATATGTTCTCTTGTAAGTAGAATTAGTGTCAATAGACATAATACGACAGTTCTCATCTTAGCATATTACTGAGAATTACATAGTCGAAAGTGATATCTTCGAAATAATTGATTGGCAAAAGTTCCATTGTCGAAATGTAGATTGGTGAATTTCGATGATATGTCTTTCAAGTGAATGAATACTGATCAATTCATACTTCTATTTTATTCTATTTGAAAACAAGATTTTAAGTAAATATTTATTTTTTTATTATGCATAAAATTCTTGATCATTTTTATTATTTTATTTTTCAGATAAACAATATATATATATATAGAATATTTCATTAGAAATAAAAAGACTTGCTCGAATATAAATAATTAACTTTGAAGTAATTTTTTTTTAATTTCATCAAAATCTGTTTGAAGTGAAATAGTTAATTTTCTTAATTCATGATGAAATCGTGTGTTAGCTTTTTCAAAAACATCTCGTAATTCATCGACTTTATGAACTAAACTTGTATGATCATTTTCTTGTAATAATGGTTCACCAGCACGATCAAGATGATGTCTATAATATCCTATTTCACATGTAACATGTTCTCTTGTTGAATGATATTTTCCAGTACGATTTGTTACTGACGGATTTTCATTTATTGGTTGAGGCAAATCAACACGTGATTTACGTAGTTCTAATTTCCATAAATAATATTTATTGGCACCATCTACTTGAAAATGTAGAAAATATGAATGTCTAGATAAAGAAAGTACTAATTGAGAACATGTTTCACATAAAAGACCAAATTTTGCTTGTAAACCAAGACATGTTTCAATACGTGCACGTAAATGTTCACGTTTAGCATTTAAACGAAAACATTTTACATCCGATACAGCAAGACCAACCTAAAGAAATAGAATTAATTATATTAATATTCTAAAACAAGAAGTTATCAATGTAAACACTAGTATCTTCGAAAAAAAAAACAAGTTTCGAGGACGGATGCCGATGAACTTTAATTTTAATGAATTTTAAATAGTAAAATAAATTTTGAGAGTACAGAATTCAAAAATATTTCTACTGCCTAGTCACAGACCCATAAAATTTAATCTTTTTTGTCTGATTATTTTGACTACAAATAGAGCTCGTTAAATTCTGATCATTAGTAGCAACCCGAAGTCGATGGACCTTAATGCAAAGGATTTATCATGAAAAAAGTGTTTTTTCCCTAATAGTCAAAAAAAGGCTTTTTTGATACTTTTCTGATTTTTCACTATTTAAAGTACTTTAACCTTCATTTCCTTATTAACAAGTAAATATTTGCATGTCTATCTTGTGTTAGAGATAGAGTATTTCAATTCGCTGTAATATTGAGACGCAGAAAAGTCTTCATTATCTGCGACGGTCTCAGATAATGCATCTCTTCTTCTCCATCGGTGACTGCGATTCTCATGAGATTTTCTTGTAATCAGACTGCAACATGTTCTATTTGTGCTCAAACTATGACACTAAAAGATAAAAGCTTAGATATTTGTAACTACTGTATGATAAAATATTACGGCTCTTAGTTTGTTATTGCAAAGCTACTCAACTTTATCTAGAGACAGGCGTTGACGCGAAATAGTTAATTATAAAAGTTTCATGTTTTTTTTATTTACTCCTATCTTGAAATAAGAACATTGAGTCTGTCAATGTATGTGAGTTATGCAAAAAGGTACGCTTTTACCATAACTGTATTTTAGTGTCGCTAATGATGATCATGGTACTGACTTAAAAAAATACAGTATCTCTGCAACAATTAACTAATAGTCCAAACTAGTGATGAGCGGAACCAATCATTTTTTTTATCTCGAATCTGGTCAAAGAAAAGTTTTGGCTCTAGTTTCATGGTTAGTAATATATGTACTAGCAACTATTCTGATATCATTTTCTAACTTTATCAATGCATTCGAAACATCTTGCACGATCCGCATGACCTCTAATGTCTGCCGTCTTAAAAGTTCATTACTATTTTAAATTCACTTATACTTCTTATATTCTGTACGTTGATATTTATACTCTAACAATTGTAATAGCAAATATAGAAATGAATATTACTCAATAATTTTCATAGTCAATTTTAGGAAAACATGAGTCGTGAGAATATGACTTTTTACGCAAGTCTTACACGACCCTAAAAGATATTCTTCCTAATGAAAAAGTATTGATCCTAATCGACATTTAGTTCGAACTCCTTTCATGATATTCATATCCTTCATTCTAAACAAATTGAAATGATCTGTATAACATTAAAAAAAAAACAAATAAATTACCATAATATTCATAATAACAATATTCATTGTAAATACAAATACTGAATAAAGTACCATGGCTGCTTCACTACCTTGTAAAGCTTTTCCATGTGGAAAAAATAAATCATCAAAATCATATTCTCCTGTAAGCATAGCTAATGTTTTTGGTATAGCATAAAATATAGTTGCAAATTGTGGTTTCTTATGTATAAATAACATGTAAAATGCAATTATATAACCAATCCATATAAATACATAAATAAGACAAAATTTTAAAAATGTTAAAAATACATTAACAAATAAAAGACCATATTTTCCAATTTTTAATGAATTCATAAAAACAAATAATAATAATGTCCATACACTAGCTATGCCTAATGCTCCACATTCCCATTGCCATTTACAACGAAGACCAGTATGTTGTGTACAATAATTAAGATCAATTGAAAATAATATTGAACATATATATGTTTGTAATTCAAGAAATTTTATAAATAGATCACGAAAATATTTTTCACGTTGAGATATTAATTGAAAAAATTCTTTTAATAATACAATACATGAACACATTAATAATAACAAACGTAAAATACCTAAATAAATAAATTTATTTATTTTTATAATAAAAAAAAAAAAAAGAAACAAAATTCTCAAAAAAAAAATCTTACGAAGTAGAAAATTAGCTGGTAGAGGTTCCACTTGATCTAATGTTAAACTTTGACATAATTCTTTACAAGTATAATTTGATGTATCATAATAAGATTGAACAGGTATTGGTGAAGCAAGTGCTACACCTGTATAAAGAAAAACAAATAATATTTGCGAACATAATATAAGAAAATATAAAAAATTTCCAAATAATTGAAATTTTAAATCAACACATATTTTAACAACATCATGATCATAAACTGGTGCATGATTTGCTTCAGCAATTAATGATAATGGATGTTGTTTAAGCCATTCTGATGATAAAAATCGTTTCGTTCGACCAAATATACATCGATTACCAGCTGGACGAGCTCG